CTGTCAGCTGCCTCTCTCTCTCTCTCCACTAAAGCCCATTAGGGCCCATATACTCCCCGGGGGGTCCCGGTAACCCACCCACCCCCCGGTACTCCGGTATATGCCGGAACTCACTCGAAACCTTTCCGATGTCCAAACATAGGCTTCCAAATATATCGATCTTTATGTCTCGACCATTTCGAGACTCCTCGTCATGCTCGTGATCACATCCGGGACTCTGAACAACCTTCGGTTCATCAAAACATATAAACTCATAATACCGATCGTCACCGAACGTTAAGCGTGCGGACCCTACGGGTTCGAGAACTATCTAGACATGACCAAGACATGTCTCCGGTCAATAACCAATAGCGGAACCTGGATGTTCATATTGGCTCCCACATATTCTATGAAGATCTTTATCGGTCAAACCGCATAACGATATACATTGTTCCCTTTGTCATCGGTATGCTACTTGCCCGAGATTCGATTGTCGGTATCTCAATACCTAGTTCAATCTCGTTATCGGTAAGTCTCTTTACTCGTTCCGTAATGAACCATCCCGCAACTAACTCATTAGTCACATTGCTTGCAAGGCTTATAGTGATGTGCATTACCGAGAGGGCCCAGAGATACCTCTCCGATACTCGGAGTGACAAATCATAATCTCGATCTATGCCAACCCAACAAACACCATCGGAGACACCTGTAGAGCACCTTTATAATCACCCAGTTACGTTGTGACGTTTGGTCGCACACAAAGTGTTCCTTCGGTATTCGGGAGTTGCATAATCTCATAGCCAGAGGAACATGTATAAGTCATGATGAAAGCAATAGCAATAAAACTAAATGATCATTTATGCTAAGCTAACGGATGGGTCTTGTCCATCACATCATTCTCTAATGATGTGATCCCGTTCATCAAATGACAACGCATGTCTATGGTCAGGAAACTTAATCATCTTTGATTAACGAGCTAGTCAAGTAGAGACATACTAGGGACACTCTGTTTTGTCTATGTATTCACACATGTACTAAGTTTCATGTTAATACAATTTTAGCATGAATAATAAACATTTATCATGATATAAGGAAATATAAATAACAACGTTATTATTCCGCTTGAGGAGGGATCGGTTAATGCACTGATATAAATGTGGGAGGATGACTACTGCTTCTCAGCTTTGGATGGCCTACAAAGCTCTCTTTGACAGCTGCGAGGCGGCACCAAGAGCAGATCAGGTTTGGCATTCGCGTGCACCTTCGATCAGTAAGATGTTTGCTTGGCTAGCCCTGTAAGATTGTTGTGTCGGGGCCTATCGCATCCACAGGCATGCCCCTTCTATGATCAGGAGCCTGAGTCTCTGCGACATATCTTGCTGGGATGTGTGTTTGCTCGGCAGGTTTGGCACGCAGTCTTGGGGCATGGGGGCTTGGGCATTGGATGCCTGCACCTGAGGAGGAGTTACTTCAGTGGCGGTCTTTCAAGAGCATAGGTACGTAGATGGACAGAGGTGCTTGGACCGATATCATTCTGGTCACTTGTACCATTTGGATGCATGAGAATGTGTGGTCTTCAATATGGCTACCCCGATAGTGAGCGTAGTGCTGCAACGAATCCACAACGAGGGATGCAACTAGAGTACTACATCACTGTTTAGCGATAGGTGTTTTGGGTAACTTTCCATGCAAGTGGACAAGTCGAGCGGTAGTGAGTAGCCCGCATGCCGTTTTCTTTTCTTGGCCTCCATGCATATGTGCATGCACTGCGTTATAGCCCTTGTGCCGTCATAACTCGCGGTTCTCGATTTTCCTTCTATGAGCATGATACGTCTCCCAGGACGGACGTATCCTTGAAAAAAATATTTACCAACAATTGTATCATTTTTTATATAACACAAACAACTTATAATCCTGATTCTTGTTATGAGATATAAAGTGCTTATTAATGGAATAGACTAACACGGAGAGATTATGTTGGTTAACGTGAGGAGTGCTTGGAGATCTTTGTAGCGACACCACCTGCCGTGCTTCCCGGCCGGCACCGCGCATGCAGCTCACGCGCTGAGGTTTCTCGGCCGGTGTGGTGTCGTCATCCTTGCGCTATATGCATGCATGCTCTTAAAAAAAGCTACATGCACGGGCGTATATTTGCACCCGCATCACAATTTAGAGGAGCCTCCCCGGACCGATCTGCTCGCCTCGCGCAGAATTTTCATCCACCCGCGCAAGGCAGATTGAGAACGACGACCGGCGACGACGCAGGCGCGTGCGTGTTCGTCTTCCCCGATCGAGCCGTAGCGCGGATGGAGATGGACTTTCTGGGCCCACGATCGGCGCCGCGGCATGCGATGCCGCTCGTGGCGCGACGCGATGCCGAGGACGACGGCGAGCCCTGGCGTCTCGCTTCACCGGCACACTTCGCGTACCCGGACGTGCGCGCGGCGGCGGCTCATCGCCACCACCCGACGGCGCCGTCGTACCAGGTCCATCCGTCCGTTTACTTTGCCGATCTGCCTGCCTGACCCATCTCTCACACGCCGGGTTGTTTGACGTTTCAGATGCACGCGCCGCCGCCGCTGCATCCCCAGGCCTTCCCGTGCGCCATTCCCGCCTCGTCCCTGCAAGGCCCGCAGGTAGTCCACCGTGCTGCGTACTCGCCTGATCGGAGGTACGTGATCGACGCCACCCTTTAATCCGCCAAAAGATCCGGTGCGGTTTACGCCCACCGGCGCGGCCGCGGCCGGGGGAGATGCAAGATCGGGAGGTAAATCGTTGGTTTCGAGTGTCAAAACAGGTGCTCCGCCGCGCAGCTGACGATATTCTACGCAGGTTCAGTCCATGTGTTCGACAACGTGACGAAGGAAAAGGTAAATCTTTCTCACAGCAACTCTGTCGACGATCTTGACTTCCACCGAAGCAAATGTGATGTGACCGCGCATTGCTGAGGATGTTGGGGATGTGCTGCGCAGGCCGAGCAGATCACGTTCATGGCCGCGAAGGCAGCTCAAGCAGGCCGCAGCCCTCCCCTTCGTCGGGCGCTGCGGCAATCGGAATCTGCTCCGGTCCCCGACGAGAGAAAGCAGATGCCATTGGCGAGAGCTTGCAGCGATCCTGTGCACCCTTCGCCACAGGCATTTTTCATGCTGCCGCATAGAGGTTGCTACCTGTTCAAGTTATAGTATATGCTTAGATTCATTTTTGCCTTGAACTGACGTGGTGTTTCTCCTGCTGCTGCTGCTGCAGATGTTCCGCTGGCCAGGAGTGCGTCCCTTGCCCGCTTCCTCGAGAGACGCAAGCGAAAGGAAAGGTACTGATGGTTGGCCCTAGCTCTACCTTGCTAACTGGGGCTAGCAGGATTTGAACTGGCTTCTACTAGTAGCTAGTGAAATATTTGTGATCGAAACATGAAAATTCAACTTCTGCTACGAAACACAACTCTACAAAAGAGAAATAACAACAGACGAATCAAATTCGGTTGTGAGTAACGCCTATTAACAACATCGTCTATCGATGCAAAATTTGTTATTTTTGTACATTCATATTAAAGTGTAGGTTTGGAATCTTGAGACATATGACAAATCTGAAGAACTCCCCTTTGCTTCTTACAGGACAGCAAATGCAGCAACGCCTTACTCTCGCAGGGAGATATCCCCTGGTAGCGTGGACACTTTCCGCATGGTCTCGCCAGGAAGCACAACACTATCCGGCAACACCGAACTGTCATGGTTCTTCGGAGATGAAAAGCTGGGAAGCCGCGACGAGGAGGCGCTGGACACGGAGCTCAAGATGTAGCCGGTGCACAAGCCCTCGCGCCAAGCGTCCCTCAATAATCGAGCCCGAATTTTGGATCAAGTTGGGTAGACGGTTGGGCTGATGACAAACAAAACCTTTTGGTGCGTTGGGCGGCAAGATCTTAGCGTAGCCTTCTTCTTCTTCTTTTGGTTTTGCTTTTCGGGTTCGGCGAGGATGTTTGCTCACAGTTTCTCTTGAAACTGAAAACACAATCATCGCCCTTTTCGGCTTTTTTGATTTACGGGCTTCTTCGGATTGTTGCTCAATCTGATTAAGAATCCTGTAGTTTTGGCCGGTGAAAGTTTTTTGTTTTCTTTAATTCTTTTCTTCCGTTTGAAACGCCAGCTGAGTTGATGTATCTCATAACTGTTAACACTACTGCTGACTGCAATGAACAATTTGTGGTCGTCGTTTTTTCATGCCAGAATGAATCTGATGATCTTGGGTGAGCAATATTGGCATCATGGCCCTAGTGGCCTACACTGGTTTCAGTCGATGAAATTGGGGGCGAACCCTCTACTTTTGACGCGTAGGGGTTCGTCCCCAATTTCATGTTGTTGCAAAGCTGATTATCAGGTTAGTTCACTATTTCAAGGTTCCTCCCTTATCTGATTGCTTCTACTAAAAAGGGTCGCGCTACGCATCGGATGGTAGATGAATTGGAAATATCAACCGCTTCCTGCACCATTGGATTGAGTCACAAATAGCCGTCGGATCTTCCCATAAGGTGTGTCACAAATTGCAACAAGGTGGATGTTGTGTGGGTCGCTCTACAACAGCTGCTTTGTTGCATAACCATCGAGGTGTTATTTTTGCCCAAAACAGAAACTCTATTGTGTTCCAATATAGATCTTGCTGCAGAAACATTTGCAACAGTGGTGGTGTTGTGGCATTATTTTTTTCTGTTTTTTCATCTTCACCTTTTTTGCAACATATATGCTCTTGCGGTAAACAATGTTGCGGAGGGCTTCTGCAATGTTGTAGGAATTTATGTCATGTGTCACCTTTTCTTGCAACATAAACTATGTTGCAGCGGGGGCTTCAGCAACATGAATGATGTTGCAGGAATTTATGTCATGAACAGAGAAAGGGAAACTAGGTAGAAAAATGAAAACTGGACGAGAGCTGTAGAGATGGCACGAAGGAGATAAAGCGGTGGCAGGCCCCACAGGGACACGCGTCACGCAAGATAGTTTTTTTTTTTTAAGGAAAGCAGTCATTCTATTTTAAACATAAAGCGGAATGTCATCAGATACAACATCGAGAATGAACTCAGGAGGCACTCCTACCCACACCTGACAACATTCCTCCCCGACCCCAACTCTAGCCAACTTGTGAGCGACCGAGGTCGCAGAGCGGCGAGCCCATGCCACCTTGAAGTCCATGAACTCCCGAAGCGAGGTCTTAATTTCTTCAACCCACGGACCAACTGACGACAAATTCCTTTCAGGGCTTAGGATTATCTTCACCAGTCTGGCAATCAAGATAGTTGAAGGGTCTCGTTTCCCTACTAAAAAGGGCTACAATTTTAGACAGAGAAAACAACACGACGGGATTTTGATGTTTCCAGTTGCTAAACTATGTTGTGTTGTTCTTACTTTGCTGTTGCTGAACTATGATGTGTTGTGCTTATTCATATTCTACTGGGAAAAATTAAGCACAAAGTAGGTCAAATAAACACTAAAAAAGGGAAAGGCTTACTAAGGAGAACTCAAGGGCAAAGAACTAGGCCTAAGAGATAAGAATGACACGCATGATCTGCACACAAAAGAACAATCAAAGATTTACGGAATTTACAGATCATTACAGATTTTGAGGCCCAAGTGTCAAACTCCATACTGCGCCTCAGTGACACCCAAGATGTATCATAGATTACAAGGCTGTCACCTTTTACCTTCCCCTTCCACATCATGAGAACGAAGATGTGCAAACTAAATTCATCTCGGCACACATGAAGGGGGCACAAACACACAGCGACCCTAATTTGCAGTCTTGGAATGCTTGATGAGCCAATCAATGACAACATCTATGTTCACCGAGTCCTTGCAAGAGATCATGTAGCAGCAAACTTCACGGTCCTTTATAGATTCCAGACCTCTGAAAACAGAAAGGGGAGGCACCTCAGTTGAAATATCATTAAGAAATAAGGTACAATATCCTATATGAAAACAGGATTTTTACTCACAGTTGATCAACTAATGCCGGCTTAGAAAGTGCCTCTGACTTGTCAATTTTGTTGCCAAGGATAAGTAAGGGGATCCCAGATAAAGATTGTTTTGTCAGCAGGTCATGCAATTCACTTTTAGCAATCGGAACGCTATCCCGGTCAGCAGCATCGACAACGTATCTGCCATTAAATGATCAAGTTAACACATTAGTGACTCCATATTTAGTATCAGCTAAGGTAGAGATACAAAAGAAAATTGGTAACAACAAAAAAGGTCATGATAAATGCATGAATAACGCCCATATGAGAGAGAACAAAAATTATCACTAGACAATTTTTCTTTCAAGGAGGAGGTTACACCTCCAGCCATTTCTAGCGAAAATATATGATGTATCTACATAACTGAGCTCCTTGGACAAAGCGTCAACTCAGCAGTCTACAATTATTCTACAGTTAAGCAGTCGAAATTAGTAGTTTGAAAGAACTAGGAATGTTCCATGTCTGACTCTAATGGTCCTCGCAGAAGTATATTAAGCAAATAGGTTTGGACTGGCTAAGAAATAAACCGAGCATATCATAAACTAGCATTATACATACTGTACTATCTCCTTCGAGCATACCAAGGATTACCTTTTGAAATGGATGTTATTTATTGCATATTGGCATACAAATCATATTATCACAAAATTGAGTTTTCAGATGTGCAAAATATGAGAAGGGGAGCCTTGGCGCAGTGGTAAAGCTGCTGCCTTGTGACCATGAGGTCATGGGTTCAAGTCCTGCAAACAGCCTCTTACAGAAATGTAGGGAAAGGCTGCGTACTATAGACCCAAAGTGGTCGGACCCTTCCCTGGACCCTGCGCAAGCGGGAGCTACATGCACCAGGTTGCCCTTTTTTTTTAGATGTGCAAAATATGAGATCTCTGAGAAGCAAGGGACATTACAAAATAGCAGTAACTCCACGACAGTAGCGCTCCCACATAGTCCGGAATCTACGTTGCCCTCCAAGATCCCAAAGTTTAATTGTGACATTTCCCTTGGTGACTTTCCGCATATTAAAGCCTACCTGTTTTCAGAAGATGAACATCCTTAGTTCAGGTCACTTAGATAACCGAGATAGTTCAAAATATCCATCAAGAAGCAGTGATATACATACAGTTGGAATCATGTCCTCGCTGTAGCCACCGGTCTGAGAAGCATAGCAGCCATGAATGAATATCAGGACAACAAAGAAAAAAATGATGCATAGCTTAAGTTGTATGAGTTGATGCGTACAGCAATTGAATTGACTAGAGATGTCTTCCCAGCATTCTGAAGGCCAACCAGGGAGAGCTCCATCTCCTGCTTAAAGAACAAGCTGAAACAAAAAATGTTACTGCCATGAGTTAATTTGATTTGATTGGTCATCCTTCAAAGACAACTCGGTATTATTATTGGCACATCTTCAGGTTTTATGATTGGTAGAGTAAGGATACTCATATGGCATAGAGCCATACGACTAAACTGGGTAGTAAAACTTGATCTCAATCTGATTCACCAACACGACCTGGACAAACCTAACTGACAATTAAGAACATCAAGAACAACAGCGAAGATTACTCAGGATTGGATCCTAACATTAAAACTGCAAACATCCACGCTCACCCTATAACCTTTAGCGTAGCAAATTCAACCCAAATGAGTAGTTCCAGCAATTTCTTCTCACAAAGGGAGCTTCGACAACTCCAATCTCCATAAGGCCAGGACAACATTCTTTTTTAACAACACAGGCCCTAATTGGCTTCAAATCAAATTGCAATGAATTGTGGAACACTCTTCAAAGGCACGCTTCTTAAAAACAGTAGTATCAGGTTCAAAATTACCCCCTTTACGCTTCAGAGACCCTAACTACATCAGTGTCTGTTAAGATATTACCACAAGCTTATACTAGGTCAGTAAACCAAAGGCTGCCTTCTAAATGCGTATGCTCTGCATTAGCTTGATCTAACGTGGATCTAACTGCGCAGAGCACAGACCCCCGACCCAGCCGCACCATCCAGCCGCGCAGGCAATTCCGATCCATCCAAACCTATCCCGCAAAAACCCATACCAGTAGCGCTCAAATCGAATCGAAGGGGGAACTGGAATTCTGCCGGGAGGGGGGCCGCCCCGTCTGAACCGCGAAAACATCGAGTGAAAGGGAAGGGGGGAGAGGTGGACGGGAACCTTCGGAGCCAGTTGAGGAGCGAGTCCCAGAGCCCCATGGCGCCTTCTGTCGCAGCTCGGGGCCGTCGCCTGTGCGCCTGCCGGATCTATCGAGGAGGGAATCCGCGGTTGCCGATTGGGGAGGAGGAGGAAGGAAGACGAGGACGAGACGACAGGAGACGTGCGTTGGCTGCAGAGACGGACACCGTACGAGCATCCGTGTCACGGGCGGTAAGCGGCACAGCGGCGTGCACGAATAATCCGAACCTGAATCCAGAGACGTCGTCTTGGACTTTTTTGGCCGTGGATTCGTGTGGCACGACTCTTTTTGGCCGTAGGATATATATACTCGTCAATGAATACAATATATGGTAAAAAAAGAATTGAACGGTAATACTTGTCACATTTATATGAAACAAAGATTAAGCTACTAGACACCGACCTGACAAAACTGAAAAATAACATAACGTTAGCCTTGACACAAAGAAAACATCAAACAAGATTTAAAATTACAATCAAGACCGAAGAGTTCCCTGAGCTTGACATCAACGCCCGTCACATACCTCCGGCACGACCATAACAGCCATCAAAATGAACAAATAACGGACCGAATTTGACGCGACTCCATCGCTGATATTCAATTTTGCGGACCTTCAAGGTGACTCACCAAAGGTGAGACTATTACCGTTGAACGAATAGGTAACACCATGGACATGCCATCAAACTCCAGATCTAGTACCCCGCACAATTAAGACATCAGAGGAGGAAATTGTACCTACCAACCACGAACCATGAACCTAGCACACGATCCACCATCTTTCATATGTCGTCGATGCAAAACCACAATCTGCATCTAGAAGCCACTCTACAACATCCAAAGAAACACGAGGGCGCAGAGCTTGCTCATGGGCTCTCCGTCGGGTGACCGTCCCCGGCGACGTCTTCCAATGTCCTTCCCCCGGCGTCCTCTGTTGCCGCCAGGACCAGATCTGGAATCACCAAGACGCCCTCTCTCTTCTTCCCCTCAAAGGCCTACCCCCGCGATGGTTGCGTCGATGTCTGCTTCCACGTCTGTGATGGCCCAATGCGCTCGCTACGGCCTTCCTTGCAGCCCGCAAGGCAGACCGACCGTTCAGGGACGCTTCACCTCACGCAAGCTCCCCTGCACGCCAACGGTGCCGGCCAGTCAGCCTCCGCCGCCAACCGTCCACGTCCTCCTTACCAGCGCCACTTTTGGTTGGATGGCGGCGCCCTCCGGCCTCCTCTGCTCGTCGCCAAGCACCTAACCTCCTCTGCTCGCCCGCATGGCGGTTTGACCAGGGCATCCGGCCCCGCTGTCGCAGCCAAGTTTGCATCCTGAGGACGAAACTGTTGAGGTGTCGGAGACCACTTCCGAGCCGTTGGCAGTGCTACCCTGCCACGACGGCGGCCGCCCGCCTGCTGCCCTGTTGAGCTCCATCACTCTTTTTCTCCATTGTGGATGCTGACTTGCTCATTAGGGCAGATGCAACTTGTGTGGGGCTCGCAAAGGAGGTTGCGGGCTGGAAGCTCGTCTAGTCCATGCGTGCGTGGTTGGAGCCTCCGTCACTTTGTTTTCATGCCTTAGCAGTGTCCCCATCCGCCCGTGTGGCTCAGAAATGGGTGCTTTCGTCGCTTTGAAAAAGGCCATGGGCAGTCGGATGCACGGATCTGATCTGGTGTAACCCATGCTTCCGCTCGAGACATCGTGCATGGGATGGCTACAAGCCGGCACCACCGCCGCATGCTCCATGTTTTGCTCGGTCGCTAGCTCATTATTGGGCTTCGATTATTGCGCCTCCACCAACATCAGAGATCCATGAGGCACTGTCCAACATGAAGACTCTTCACTGGGATTCCTTGCATTCCTTGTTGATTGCTTCGGCTTCCATCCCGAAGGATGTGATGCTTCAGTCTGCTCTTGCAGTGCACACAGAGCTGCTGGGCTCCGATCTTCGCTACATGACTTCCTCGGGTAGAGGAGGCAATTAAGCCACTTCGCGAGGTCACTGACTCCTTGTAGGGTTGGTTGGTGCGTGTTGGGAGTTTTCTGGAGCGCACGGAGGTTGCTCTCCAAAGGCTCCCTGTTGCATTGTCCCCCATGGTTAAGTATGTTGTTGGCTTCATGGATGAGGTAGGTGTGGAGCTCTTTGGTACCTTCTCGCCTCTTGTTGGGTCTAGTTCGACACCCCCTATGTTGTCGGACTTTGAGGGTGAGGCCTCTACTCATGAAGTTCAAACAAGGCGAAGTGGTTTTATTAAGAATTTTTGAAGGTTAACGAAAATAAGGCCCATTGTCGGTGTCAAAACCGGCGGATCTCGGGTAGGGGGTCCCGAACTGTGCGTCTAAGGCGGATGGTAACAGGAGGCAGGGGACACGATGTTTTACCCAGGTTCGGGCCCTCTTGATGGAGGTAAAACCCTACGTCCTGCTTGATTTATTCTTGATGATATGAGTATTACAAGAGTTGATCTACCACGAGATCGGAGAGGCTAAACCCTAGAAGCTAGCCTATGATATGATTGTATGTTGTCCTACGGAACAAAACCCTCCGGTTTATATAGACATCGGAGAGGGCTAGGGTTACACAAGGTCGGTTACAAAGAAGGAGATATCCATATCCGTACTGCCTAGCTTGCCTTCCACGCCAAGTAGAGTCCCATCCGGACACGAGACGAAGTCTTCAATCTTGTATCTTCATAGTCCAACAGTCCGGCCAAAGGATATAGTCCGGCTGTCCGGAGACCCCCTAATCCAGGACTCCCTCAGTAGCCCCTGAACCAGGCTTCAATGACGATGAGTCCGGCGCGCAGTATTGTCTTCGGCATTGCAAGGCGGGTTCCTCCTCCGGATACACCACAGAAGAGTTCGAATAACAGGATAGTGTCCGACCCTGCAAAATAAGTTCCACATACCACCGTAGAGAGAATAATATTTCCACAAATCTAATCTGCTGACACGTTTTGGTAACATGACATTATGCCATGGCCCGGTGATTATTCGAATTGTTTCCTTTAACTAGCCCCACACATAACGCGAGGCAGTTTCTTGACATGTCTTGTCAAAGCAGAGATCGTGTCCCCTTATTACGGGATCCTCATCAATACGGGTGTGGGTAACCCAACCGCGCCATCAATTACGGCGCTTGGGGGATAAGCGAGTTTTACCAGGCTAGTGGGGGCGCATAGTTTCGGCCGCCCTTATAAGGGGATAAGGTTTAACGTTTTTCTACCCACGCCTTCTTCCTCCTTGCTCATCCGTTCTTGCGCACTCGAGCTCTAACGCCCAAGTCCACATCCTTCTCCTCAACCTTCTCCAAACATGTCCGGAGCGGGAGGCAAGTGGATGGCTTCCTCCGTCACGGAGGGTCACATCAAAAAGCTACGCGGAGCCGGATACTTAGCCGCGAATATCGCGCATCGGCTGCCCGCTGCGGGGCAGATCGTTCCTACCCCGGAACTGTTGGGGAACGTAGCAATTTCAAAAAAATTCCTACGCACGCGCAAGATCATGGTGATGCATTGCAACGAGAGGGGAGAGTGTTGTCCATGTACCCTCGTAGACCGAAAGCGGAAGCGTTAGCACAACGCGGTTGATGTAGTCGTACGTCTTCATGATCCGACCGATCAAGTACCGAACGCACGGCACCTCCGAGATCAGCACACGTTCAGCCCGATGACGTCCCTCTAACTCCGATCCAGCCGAGTGTTGAGGGAGAGTTTCGTCAGCACGACGGCGTGGTGACGATGTTGATATTCTACTGACACAGGGCTTCACCTAAGCACCGCTACAGTATTATCGAGGTGGACTATGGTGGAGGGGGGCACCGCACATGGCTAAGAGACGATCAACTTGATCAACTTGTGTGTCTAGAGGTGCCCCCTGCCCCTGTATATAAAGGAGCAAGGGGAAGGCGGCCGGCCTAGGAGGAGGGCGCGCCAAGGGGGGAGTCCTACTCCCACCGGGAGTAGGACTCCTCCTTTCCTTGTTGGAGTAGGAGTGAAGGAAAGAGGAGGAGAGGGAGAAGGAAAAGGGGGCTGCACCCCTTGTCCAATTCGGACCAGAGGGGGGGGGCGCAGGCCTCCTTCCTTTTGGCCTATATCATCTATTCCCGTATGGCCCAATAAGGCCCATATACTCCCCGACGAATTCCCGTAACTCTTCGGTACTCCGAAAAATACCCGAATCACTCGGAACCTTTCCGAAGTCCGAATATAGTCGTCCAATATATCTATCTTTACGTCTCGACCATTTTGAGACTCCTCGTTATGTCCCCGATCTCA